GCCTACAAACCATGTGCTCTAGGCCTTGCTCACTCCAGGATGTGGACCGCGTGGCTCTCGTCCTAATTCAACAACGTTCTTAAAAAAAACAATCAAACAAAACAACCACTTGCGAGCAAAAAAAATAGAAACTCAACCTGCCGACAAGTTCAAACACGTCACAAAATCAGTCTCCTCGCTTCTCAACAAACCACACCGCCGACGCTAGCAATGAGAAGTTCCCCCTAGGCCTACTCTACCCCGGCTATAACAAAAGCTTGTTCTGAACCGCTAAAACTGTCGTCCGACACTCCAAGAATGTGGAGAACAGATGACGTAGGCGGCTTCCAATGGCGACTACGGGCTGGATGGGTCGCCACATGTTGAGGCCCGCTGTCCCATCTGCTCTCTTTGTAAACGCTTTTTTCCAAACTCTCCAGTTCGATTAAAAGGAAGGTCAGGAGACCGTCAAGCCCCAAAGGATCAGCAGCATGGTTTATAGCCCCTTGTGTAGCACAGGTACAGTGATATAGGACCACGATGTCTCGGGGCAATGCTCTAAGTATGATATCGCAAAGCATCGATGAAAATAAAACCCGTTGTACACCCAGTGACTCCAGCCCTCAGATGTTGATGAGCGCTTGGTGACAGAGTTGTGGGAGATGTATGAACAGGAGGCAGATGACGCAATCTTGCAAAATATTCCTGTTCTTGGCGCGTCTTGTCTTGGCGCATCTTGCTTCTGTAGCATGTCTACAGTGTCCTTGTAACATGCTTCCATCGTTCGAAGACCAGCTACCACTGAAGCAGCGTCTCCTTTCAAAAACTACTGCAAATAATGGAATTTCTCCATCGTTGTCAGGGTGGCATTGTTATGGACAAGCTGGGCTAATTGCTCCCAGAACTCCGTCCATTTATACACATCCCCAGAAAAGGGCACAATTGTGAGCTTCGGTAGCTTGGCTATTGCCATGTCAGGTGGGGTAGCGCCCGTATGGGTAGCCGTCTCTGATCCGTTTTCTGCTTGTGCGCTTGGAGTGCGTTTCTGCCTGGTTAGGAGCTCGGACAGGATACGCGTCACGTGGTCCTCGTATTTTAGAATTGAATTGTATTGCACTCGGCTTCGAAATTCTCGTCTCAGATTAGACTTTCCAATTCAACGTTGATCTTGTTCAGCTCATCGTTATTAGTCTTTAGCCTCTCGTATATAGAAACAAGCTGTTCCTGCGTCACGAAGTCATTGCAAAGTACGACACTTGCCTCATTGATGATCCGGCTGTTCAGGGCTCGTCGCGATGTCTGCTTCGCCTTGATCTTCTCCATGTCTTCCAGGCCACTCGTAGCCGTCGGTTGGTCAATCCAGGGTTTTGGCACCAAAATGTGGGAAAATGGCATGGAGCAACCTTAGAAGTACTCGAATCTGTCAAGGTAGTCATATGAAGCCATTGGGACCCTGCTAATACTGGGAGGACCCCATTTCTTTTTTTGCACTTGTTCTTACTTCATCCTCTTCCTTGGTGGTCCGCCAGCGCTCGCGACAGAATTAACATGGCTGTATTCGAAATTTGGGATACAAATTGAACAGTTTGTACCCTATCATTTGTATTCTATTAGGAAATTCTCTATTTAATGGTTTGAAACTATTGAAACTCGGCAAATGCTGCGTTTTGATGGTTTGATCGCAAATGGTTTCAATGGTTTCTCAGGAAATGCTGTGGTCAATGGTGCGGTTTTGTATAAAAATCTCTGCCGTATATGAAAAGCAACAAATGCTGCATTTTGATGACGCAGGAGAGTTTTTAATACAGCATCACACTGTTTACATGCACACACCCACCGGGGCAAGCCGGATGAGTTGTCCGCTCTACCGTCACAGCCATCGTGTTCTACGCCATTGTTTCGAAGAGGGTCAGAATTTTAGGGGCGAAGCTCCTTAGGCCGATGTTCGTTCCCTCCTCTGTGTGTAGTATGTAGCCAGCCACTTCTAGATTATGACTTCCTCAATAGATGGCGTTGTGTGAATGTGTCCTTGGGAATAATATAACAAGATGGCGTTAGTGGTTTTCACAGCATATCCACGGAGTGAATGAGGATGAATGGGGCAAAGCGTCCATTCGTTCGTGTGTCCAACTGTCTGTTTGTTTGCCAATCTGTTATCCGTCCGTGCTTCCGTATGTTCGTCCTTCCGTCCGTCGGTCTGTCCATCCACCCATGCTTTCGTCCGTCTATCCATCTTTTTGCCTGTTTGTCTGTCTATCCATCCGTGCTTCCGTACGTGCACCCGTCTGTGCGTCCTTGTTTCCGTTTATCCGTGCCTCGGACTGACTATCCGTCCGTCTAGACGCACGGATGGATGGACACACAGACGCTTCGCCCCTCTCATCATCGTTCACTCCGTGGCTATTATTTTTTTTTCTGCACTTTGAGGGTATCTGCAGTGCTCATAATGCTGCTTAGTACAGTCGAATCTCGATAATTCGAACTTGAAGGCGCCCAAAAATTAGTTCGAATTAAAAGAAGTTCGAATTAAAAGAAGTTCGAATTAATGAAAGTGAAATAAACCGAGGGCTCTCCATGCAAAGACGCATGTGCATTGAGCTAACACACAAGGGGGAAATTCAGAAAACTTCATTTTATTCACAAATCACAGGACATCCGTTATTACCGTATTTACTCGATTCTACCGCGCCCTCGATTGTAACGCGCACCCGATTTCCACCGCGAAAAAAAAAAAAAAACGTAAGACATCGATTGCAACGCGCACCCATTTATCTCGCTGGCCCGCACGATCACACCACTAGAAAAAACGACTCCTTTCAAGAGCGTCTTCCATTTAAATATGAGGTACGGGCGAAACTTGTGCCCATCTGACGTGTAACAGAGCATTGCCGTCACTGTAGTTTTACCGTGGACCGATGTCACCACGCGAACTTGCTTCGCCCCCTTCTTCTCGACGGTTGTGGTGCCAGGCATGTCGAAGTAAAGAGGCATCTGATCGGCATTCCCGATTTGCCCAAGCAGGTAGCCGTTGTTGCGCCGCAAGTTTAGGACGAACCTCTGAAAACTGTGAAGCTTTTCATCGTACTCCTTCGCAAAACTTTTCGCATATGCATGTTCCCCTTCGGAGGAAAAAGCCTTTCCTCTTCACAAAGTTAGTTGTCCAGCACCTGCTCGCTTTAAACTGGCTCCGCATTAGACCTTTTTCTAAGATTAATTGCATAGCCCGCACTTGGAGCAGTTCTGTCGTCACGGGCCGCTGTGCCACTCGCTGCTCAAGCACATACTCGCCGAGCAGCTCTTTAATTTGCGGAAACCGACCTTGCTGTGGTCCACTGAAGCCTTTGCGTGAAGCTTTGCTGTTGACAATCTTCTGCTTTTGTTTCCGCCGGTCCCGCACGCACGTTTCGGGAACTCCGAACGACCGAGATGCGGCCCGATTTCCGTCTGTTTCTGCACACGCGATGACTTTTCTTTTAAAATCGGCATCGTGGTGCACTCGAGTTTTTAGAGTCGGCCCTTCCACGCCGTTGATGCTAATGCACTACTAGATGACGAACTACTCAGCACACGTACGAGGTGCCGCACATGGGAAACACATAGGCAGAAATGGTCGACGCGCCATGCCGACGCACGTAGGGGGCGGCCATTTTGGATTTGCCGATGGCAATAGATTGACCGTAATTTTTTTGTTCGTACTCGATTCTAACGCGCATGCGATTTATGAACTCGCTTAACCGGAAAAAAGGTGCGCGTTAGATTCGAGTAATTGCGGTAATTGAAGTAATCAGTGGTGCGCGTCTGCACACGTTTGCCTTGCAGCGAGTCAATCGATTTCACACGCAGCTTGCAAAGCATTTATTCTTCTTCGGCTTCAGCATTCTCCTGGCAAGAGAAGTTGTGCGCGGAAATGTCCAGCGCCGACACTTTCTAAAGACGACAACAACGACTGTGTAGCGGAGCCTCCTGGAGCCTCCCGCTCTCCGCTACGCAGCCGCAGCATGGCCAGCACATGATGAGAAAGGAGAGGCATCTCCATGCAGAGAGAAGCAGATCGGCATTTGAGAGATAACGAACACTCTACGGCAGCATTTTTTTTGCTTTATTGTTGGCGCGCGTTATTGAAGGAGAAGGATTACGTGGCAGGGAGGGAAAAGGGGGAAGCCGGCCACCAGCGCTTGAGAGAACCCCCCCCCCCCCCCCCCCCTCAAGGTGCAGAGCCATGCTCCCGCAAGGGGCAAGGGCTGTAGAATATAGTGCCTTTTTCCTTTCCTTCAACCCAGCCACAGCTTTTTTTTTTTTTCTCTCTCTCTCTCTCTCTTGGGGCGCGGCAGGGACAGAAAAAGGAAAACCGTGACGCGGGCAGATCGGCATTTGAGAGAGAGCAAACATTCCACCGCAGCCTTTTTCCTTTTCATTTCTTTCGCGGGCAGTGTTGAGGTGTCGCAAATGCCACCGCGGGATTGGGCGGGGTGCTGAGAGCATTTTCGGAGCGCGCTTTATTCGAATTAACCATCGGAAGTGCTTGGGCGTTCGAATTACCGGGCGTTTTCGCCCATTGGAATATACATAGCTTTGACGGGACGTAATCGTGAGTTCGAATTTATCGGAAGTTCAAATTAAGCATGTTCGAAATAATGAGATTCGACTGTACCTGGCTAAGTGCGCTTTCAGCAGGTATTAAACGTTTTCACGAGAGCCTGTGTGAGCACCATAATCTCTGATAAGTGTACTGCATGCCTTCAGTATTATTTTGGATGTGACTTTGGCTTTAATCACTCGAGCGAAGTTAAAAAAAAGTATGAATTCATTTTTTGAGACGATTTCTCAGTTTTGAGGAAATCCTGAAAATCTGCGTTCACTGTGTATATGAAAAAGTGTCAATTTTACTGAATTCGCTATAATATGTAGGTTTAGCTGCAGTTGTACTAATTTTAGTGTGTTGATTTTGTAGTATTTTTGAACTCTGTTTATTGCGTGGCTGGCTCCTGGTAATACATGTGACGCCTGCTCTCATTATGTAGGTGGGCCGTCGTGAACGCCAGCTGCTGCAGCGCCTCGCTTCCCTTTTTTCGGAAGAGGATAACTTTGGTGCCCAGCGAAGTCGGCTGCGGAGTGCTTTGTCCCGTGGCAGTCCCTTTGTGCCACATCTGGGGCCCTACTTGCGAGACTTGCTTCATATGGAACTTTGTGCTTCCCAGGTGGCTGTTACTTTACACTACATTCAAGCTTGCACTCATACCACTTGAAAAAAAAGAATGAGTCCGATACACTGTATAATTCAATGTAAATTTGAAAGAATTTACGATATTTCAGGTGTGAATTTCGGTAGGAATTTCAGTGTACTAGTTCGATTCATGGCACTGTTTCACAATACTAATGCAAAGAATGTGCCTTTTTTTTCACTAGTTTTAATGTTTCAGTGGTGGGTAGTTAGGAGCGCAGATTACATTGAGGGTCCTATTGTGCTCGAGAAAATACAGTATCGATGTAAACAGCACTTAACATCTTTATACGCAGCTCAGTGTACTTGTTGAGAGCTGGAAGCCTATAGTCCACCTTCACCCTGATGTCAGCCTTGTTCTTCAATGCTGTGCTTAGCATGCTTCTCTGGATGCTGTACGCAGTAGCTAGATCAGGATTCTTTTTTCCACGTTTGGCAGTGTTATTGCTAGCTTTGTAGTGAATAGAAAGTTCTTCCATTTTACAGCAGCCATCAGGTTAACAAAGGGAGTGAAGAATCATGGAGAAAAGAACGGCAACCGCACAAAACATCTTACGATGAAAAGCACGTGGTAGCAAGCAGTACTTTCTGCTTGCTCCATGTGACACCGTCTGAACACCCTAATCACACCACTTGCCCCCCTTTTATAAGAAAAGACTAGCTTCTTATAAGGAAAAGCCAATTTCTTGAGGCATTTGCACTGCCCAATGTTTTATGTATGGAGTGTTTCATCTATTTTTGTCCAGTGTAGCCGTAAATTTTGCTATGCATGGACTTTAAAGCATCATCTCCTTCAAATATACCGTATTTACTCGATTCTACCGCGCCCTCGATTGTAACGCGCACCCGATTTCCGCCGCGAAAAAAAAAAAAACGTAAGACATGGATTGCAGCGCGCACCGATTTTTTTTTTTGCTGGCCCGCACGATCACACCACTCGAAAAAACGATTCCTTTCGGGGTTGTCTTCCACTTAAATATGAGGTACGGACGAAGCTTGTGCCCATCTGACGTGTAACAGAGCATTGCCGTCACTGTAGTTTTACCGTGGACCGATGTCAGCACGCGAACTTGCTTCGCCCCCTTCTTCTCGACAGTTGTGGTGCCAGGCATGTCGAAGTAAAGAGGCATCTGATCGGCATTCCAGATTTGCCCAAGCAGGTAGCCGTTGTTGCGCCGCAAGTTTAGGACGAACCTCTGAAAACTGTAAAGCTTTCATCGTACTTCTCCGCAAAAGTTTTCGCATATGCATGTTCCCCTTCGGAGGGAAGAGCCTTTCCTCTTCATATAGTTAATTAGCCAGCACCTGCTCGCTTTAAACAGGCTCCGCATTAGACTTTTTTCTAAGACTAATTGCATAGCCCGCACTTGGAGCAGTTCTGTCGTCATGGGCCGCTGTGCCACTCGCTCCTCAAGCACATACTCGCGGAGCAGCTCTTCAATTTGCGGAAACCGACCCTGCTGTGGTTCACTGAAGCTTTGCTGTCGACAATCTTCTGCTTTTGTTTCCGCCGGTCCCGCACGCATGTTTCGAGAAGGACCGCGATGCGGCCCGATTTCCGTCCGTTTCTGCACACGCGCTGACTTTTCTTTTAAAAAAGCGGCATCGTGGTGCACTCGAGTTTTTGGAGTCGGCCCTTCCACGTCGTCGATGCTAATGCACTACTAGATGACGAACTCCTCAGCACACGTACGAAGTGCCGCACATGGTAAACACATAGGCAGAAATAGCCGACGCACCATGCCGACGCACGTAGGGGGCGGCCATTTTGGATTTGCGATGGCAATAGATTGACCGTAATTTTTTTGTTCATACTCGATTCTAACGCGCATGCGATTTATGAACTCGCTTAACCGGAAAAAAGGTGCGCGTTAGATTCGAGTAATTACGTAGTTGAGGATAATTCGATATATTTGAGATCGAACTGGGTTGGGCTTGACTATTAGCAACCTTGTCCAACCAATGTGTAGGTCTGATTGTAAATGCATGTGATAGTGATCCTTAAATAACCTGATTCTACTAACTAATAAATTTTCTGGGTGTATTCATGATGAAGATAAAAAAGTTTCAAATCTGTCTCTTTTGAATGCCTTGCTTTGGATGTTCAACAGCTGTGGTAATTAAATGGAACACATTTTCTTACCACAGCTTTTATATTTACATTTTCAAATTAATTTCAACAGCGATAAAAATGTACTAGAAAGTCATTTAAAAATGATCTGATGATTAATTTTATTTTTGCACGATGCCTTATACATGGTAACTTAGGGGGGGCCTAAAGCATTTAAAAACTTTGCGGATAAATCAGACTTTTGCTTAGTACTTTTTCAAGGTGATTTAAAAGCATTCCAGAGCTATTTACTTTTGAAGCTTTTGGAGCTAGCCAAATAGGAAAGTGTTTTTTTTTTTTTTTACATTCAGCTTGGCTGAGAGAACCACCATTTATTGAATCATATACACTCAAATTTCGATGTAGTGAATTCAAATAAAAACCTATTGGTTATAACGAAGTAAGCAACCACTAGCTTTGCCATAAATACAGTGTTACTAATAATAACTTATAACGAATTTTCGGATATAACAAGGTATTTTCATGGCATATGCGATTTTGTTATTACAAGTTTTTGAGTGTATACAAGAATAATGAGTGACCCCCAACCAGAATCTGGATGTGTTCAGATAAGTACAGTCAAAAGTAGGGTTGACTATTTTTTTTAATTCAACATTTTTTGTGTGACATAATATCCCTCCACACATCATAACAGAGTTAATTTTTTTTAATGCCTTGGTTTCCGTATGGAGACATTTTAATTCAGAAAAACATTTTTCAATTAACTGGGCTGGGTCTAGTTATTCACTGAAATTTACATTGCAAAATGAAGGATATACTATTCTTCTTAATTAAGTGGGATATTGAAATAACTGAGTTTTGAACTAATGAGGTTTTACTTTGCTACTTCTGGAGTTGTGCATCGTCGCCCAACATACCTGTACAAGGTCTTTTTCTAAAGCAGTTTCAAGTTCTAGTGGAGCTCTCTGGTAGAACACTTGAGTGCTGTGAAGAATACCTGGGTACGATAGTAGCTCGTATACCCCGTTTTTTGTAAGGTTACACTTGGATGTCATGCAGCTTCTGTACTGCATTTCATATTTTTCATGGCCTGGTGCCTGGTGAGGAATTTGGGGTTTTCGCCTTAGCTAGGCTTGAATTTGTGAGATCAGTTATCTGTGTTTCACTGCACTATGAAGAGCTATGGCACAGGGCTTCAGAATGTCACCCCATTTCTTCAGTTGTGACTGTAAAAAATAAATAAAGGCATGCTCAAAATATATAGTTACTCAGTGCTATGGCTATGTGGGAGCCAAGAATTCCCAGGCCCAGACTTTCTTGTGCATGGTGTAGTATATTGCTCATACATATTCCTGATTTCAGGGTGATCGTGGAGCAACAAATGTCTCTCTTCTGGGCTGCTTGGATGCTCTACAGACTTCCTGCCAGCGCTTTGCTCTGAACCCAAATGCGAGCCTCCAGACGCAACTTGTGCAGCCCTTCTATCTTGAGGAATTACAGAAGTTTTTTCAGGAAGATTCTTACCGGTATGCATTTTTGTATAAACAGCTGCTGTGCAATCATCATCTAGGGCAAGCAGAATGATGTGTGCGAGTTTACAAGTTTTCTGGCTATGCTAGTGTAAATAATTATGTTGCATAAATTTATTTGCATAAGCTTGGCTGATAAAAATCCACAAGTAACATTGCCTTAGCATTCTTGCTTCAAATTTCACTGTTGAATGTTGATTCAAACGTTACTTTTTTAATGAAAACTTGCACTATAGCCTTCAGAGTCTTTTCATAAGTTTTAATCATCCTCAGTATATAGCAGTTTAAGGGCTATACGAGTAGATAGCACTTGTATTAGCATATGCAATATTTATCGGAAAGGATCTGAGCTACCCAATTGTTCTTGCATACGTTGTGAAATGCAATCATTCTTGCAGGTTCTATTAACTATCTATTCAATATCATTTTATAAATATTACTTGTTAAATTAAGACTAAATCTAAGTATGTCTAAAAGTATATAGTGAATGCTTGCTAATTTGGGAAATCGGATAAATCAGACAAGTTGCTTAGTTGCAGCCAGCATATGCATTGTAAAATGGCATAAAATTCTCATTAATTCAGTCATACTTAGTCACAACCTGGTTCATTCAGACGATACTCGGAGCGCGACAAGTGCAAAGTGCCGCAAATATGCATCATAAAGGAGAGAAAATGGCTTTCGCAGACAACTGAAATGAGACAACGCTATTTATCTTCCACAGTTGATAACCACTGTTTCGTACACATGTGGATCAAACACTCAACAGTTTATACCGTGAAAACTGGAAGATAAGTCAGACCGGAATATAGGACTCCCCAAACTTTGAATCTCCAAAAAAGAAAATTTTAAAATCGCAAAGTATCGCGGTGCACCGTTAACCTTGCTAAATACGCAACACAACCAGCTGCACTGTGGTCACATTTCGTTGTATTTGGACACTTATCTTGTGTAGTTAAACGCCAGAAGGCCACAAAGAGCTGTCACTCGGACTCGTCTGAACTTGAGTGCGACATCTGTTTTTCTCTAGTAACGTCTCAGAGTACATTGTCCTTCATTCCATCCACTGCATCACTGATGCAGTATTTCCGGAAAGACGGAAGTACGCCGCCTCAGCACAAAGCCCTTCCGCTTCATAAATCGGCGCACTTACAAAAGCAATTCCTTGAATTGCACCCTTGTGAGCCCCGATTCACGCGCTATCTCGAGAGCTTTCACGCTGATGCACTCCGCTGTTACGGGTAGCGACTTTGCATGCATCTCGTGAACGAATTTGGTAAGTAGCGTTTCCAGTTTGGAGTGCACTGCAGTCTGTCCACGAAACAATGTTTTTTTGTTGTTGTTGTTGCTGCAGGATGTAATTCACTGCTTTTGGCTCCTCCAGTATCGAACTTTTTTCTCCAATGCACTGAATTCTCGTTGTGCTGCCAGGTTGCTGTGCATTTCGGCATACTCGATAACCTTTTTCGTAAACTGCCGTCGTAGTACTACTCATTTCTGAAGGAAATAGAAAAAAGAAAACAGCAGAGTCACAGCAGATAACCGAGGCAAAATGCTGTTGCTAGAACATTGTAAGCCTTGCCTAGCCTTTCCCAACGGTGCTGCTTCTGATGCTCACGATGACAATAGAGGCTTTCAGCTTCAGTTGCCCATTGTTGCGAGACTTCCACATTTTTTTTCTGTCAATGACCTGTATATAAGACAAGGCTCAACTTCTCATTGAGTTTTTTTTTCTAAGAAAATTCGATCTATATTGCGGTTTTTATGGTATTTAACTTGATGCAATGTGCATGCATTGTCACAAAACTGAAACATGGTGGAAGCTGGTGAAGGTGAAGAGCTTTCAATTGTGATCAGCATGCCAGCATAAAATTCAGTTGCTACATCGTGAAGAATGAACTATCAGTTGCTGGCTATTTTACCCGCAAAAAGACCGTTGTCAGCGTGGTAGTGGTAGCACCGTACGGTATTTGAGAGGAGTGCAGAGCACATTTCCAGCTAATGAAACACTAGAGTCTGGTGCCATTGTCGCATTAAAGTGACACGGATGAGGTTCTGATTTCACGAATTAAGTATCCGAGACCTCTTACAACATGTCTGCAGAAGTTTTTTTCACAAGGAGTGATTAAACAGTGGCGCTATAAGCGAGTAAACTTTGACCAAGGAAATGCCTTCCTCCCCAGCACGCGCGCGTGCAAGGGCGGAGCACGGGAGAGATGAACACGTGGGGAGGCGACGTCACCTTCAGGGTCGAGCCTCCGCCTGGCGGGCAACTTTGCGCCGGGCCGCCTGCGTAGCTCAGTCAGCTCAGCTTGTTTACTTCACGGTTGCGCTTCGTTTCAGCTGCGATCTGATGCCTGGCAAAACATCAGTTCTGCCAGTTCGTAGGGTTTTCTTGCCATTGCGCCGTTCTCTTCTCCTGATTAGAGGTTTTCGCCATGCAATATTCACTAGTTGTCTTTGTGCAAGGTAGAAGTGGACTCGAGATGCTGAGTTATGGCTGCTACAGCACTTATGGTCGCGATGAGGTCGCTTTTCACAGGTTTCCTCGGGATCAGAAGATGGCTGCAAAATGGGTCGCTGCAGTTAAAAGAAAATACTTGAAACCTACGAGATGAAGCGAGCTGTGGTGGTCGCGAATCTGCCGAATTTCGAGGCACCAGTAGTACTTCTCCTTTTTTCTCATTTGCACACAGTGCGGGCATGAGCACTTATGGTGTAAACACGTGTACAAAGACATCAATATGCATAATCGAAATCAGTTATTCTACACGACAATCGCATGCTTCTAGTGCAGCTAATATACCATTTTCATTTTAACACGTTATCAATGTACATAGTACTGGGCAGAATTTAAAAAAAGCGACAGTATTGTAAAAAAACAGAACTGCAATATATGAGCCAGACTATTCTTGTGCAATTTTCAGCTTAGTTCAGAGCACATATCACCACTGAGGCAAGAGCGGCACTCGTCTGGCTCTTTCTTTTTTTCTCGCGGTAGCATTTTGACTCATCGTGTGCGCCTTGCCCGCTACAAAGTACGATACTGACTACAAGGATGCACTCAAAGTAGTGAAATTCATGAACAGCTGATTTTCCTGCACGCTGCCCGCGCCTAGCGCAAACCGGGCCATTTCGCGACTAAAAGCTAGTGCTGATGTTGCTGTTTCTTATCAAATTTGATGTCCACTGATAATCGTATTATTTGTAAGAGTTTACTACAGTTAAATTACCGTATTTTTGCGCGTATCACCCGCCCCTGCATATAATCCGCACCCCCACTTTCAGCTCACCGAGAAAGAAAAAAAAAATTATCGCGCATTGCCCGCACATTTGATATACAGGAAAGGCTGTAGAAAAGCTACTGCTCAAGCAACATAGCACATATGTAGACAGAAAAAGCTTTGTTTAGCAAGCAGAATATGCTGTCTGCAAGGCCAGTCACAACTCGGTCACTGTCGCTGCTCTCGCTAGAGCTATCACTTGAGCCGCAGTCCTCACTATTATGCACAAGGTCATCTCCATTCATGTTGTTTGTGATGCAGCATTTCTTGAAACTTTTTGGCACCATCTCACCAGGAATGGCTTTCCATGCCTCGAGAATGCACTTGCAAAATAGGGCAATATCAGGCCTTCAGACTCGTCCTGTCGGCGTCAAGTCATAGCAGCCTTCGACCATCCACATGGCGTAATAGTGCTTGACATGTGCTTTGAAGGGCTTGTTAAGCGACACATCTAGAGGCTGCAACATTGACGTCATTCCACCGGGTATAACAACTAATTCGGTGCCGTTGCGTTAAAAGCGGACCTTCACTTCCTCAGTTGTGTGGCCGCGGAACGAGTCAAGAACGAGCACGAACCTCTTTGCGAGCATCGCACCGGGCCTCTTCTCCCATACCGTCTTGATCCAGTCTACGAACAAGTCACTGTTCATCCACGCGTTCTCGTGTGCGCGCACCACCACACCGGCAGGCAAATGAACCTTTGGTAGAATTTTCCTTTTCAAGATGACGTACGGTCGCAGTTGCGTGCCGTCGGCGAGGGCACAAAGCAAGACTGTGATGCGCAGTTTCGTGTTCCCGCCGGTCAGCACGCTCACCAAACTGCTGCCCGTCTTCTCAATCGTTGTGTCCAACGGCATTTCAAAATAAACATGAGTTTCATCCGCATTGCCGATTTGCGAGAAAATGTAATTGTGCTGCTTTCGCAGGCCAGTTACATATCTCTGGTACTTGAGCAGTTTCTCCTCATAAGAAACCAGCAAGCGTTGACATATTCTAGTCCGCCATCTGATTGAGAGCCCTTGCCGCTTCATAAAGCGGTGCAGCCATCCGCGGCTCGCACGGAACTCTTGAGGTAGGCCTAGCTCCTTCGAAAGTCACCGCGCTTCCACTTGGGCCATCTCGGTCGATACAACGTGACCCCTGCTTCTCACATCTTCGATGAACTTTACTAGCTCCGCCTCCAGCTCAGGGTAGGCACCGGTCTTGGGGCCACGAAATGACCTACGGTCGCGGTGCGCGGCTTGTAGGCTCTCTTTCTTCTTTCTCCACAGTCGCACGCAGGACTCGTCCACATCGTGCCGTCTTCCCGCTTTGCGATTTCCAAATTTCTCGGTGACGGCGAGGATCTTAAGCTTTTGCTGTGCCGTGAAGGCCTGCCGCCGTACGCTACTCATGGTGACAGAACAGATCGACTTAGGCTTGGCGAACGGGTCGAGATGTGGAGAACTAGCAGTATCAGCAAGGTAAAGAGCGCTCACACTCGGCGATAACTTGACAGCACTACCCCTTCTAGTATACTGTAACAGCACCCTGGAAACAACAGAAACGAAATGCATGCCTGCTACCGCGTTAAAAAGTAGTACATTAATTAACTGATAATATCTCTATAGGCACTATAATATCTCATTTGCCTTGCTGAAATAAATATTGCTTTATTTATTATGGAACTTACTTTATTTATTATGGAACTTTCTTAGACAGCACCACCTTTTC